GCAGACGTAATATCACCGTTGTCTTAAAAACCAAAATATGACACCTGATCTATTAGCCTTGCAACGACCTTGCAGCTCTGAAGTTGAATAATGAATAAAAAGGCGGGATTTGTAAGTGCAGTTTAAATCTGCGGCTGTATTGTCTCGTCATTGCAACGTGTGTGGGGTGTGTGTGTGTGTATCTGCACGTATGCATTGTCTGCGATTCCTTCTCTAACCACTGAGCCGAGGTTGAAAGTGAGCGAGAGAGACTGTAATAATACAGTCATGACTATTCTCTCTGGCTATACACCATCGCCGTCATGTGGTCACAAACAACATAAAGGCAAAATTCCTGTTAAGGCACATCTGACCAATGAGTTTATCAACGGGAGAATTGGTAGACCTAACTGAATGCGGCAGGTCTCCTAGCGGTTAAGAGCGTTGGGCCAGTATCCGAAAGGTCGCTGGTTTGAATCCCAGAGCTGGCTAGGTGGAAAAATCTGCCTCTCTGCCATTGACCAAGGCAATAATCCCCAACAACAACTGCTCCCCGGTCGCCGTTGACGTCGATTAAGCCCCCCCCACCCCCCCACCTCTCTGATACAGAGGGGTTTGGTTGAACGCATTCAGTTCTGCAACTGATTAGGTTTTCCATTTCTCCCTCCACCCTAAAACATCCCACAGAATCCTTGCATGTGATTTAGGTAAACTGTATTTATTTGCCATTGATCTATTCATTTATCAATAAATCAGTTGACAAGTAAATAAAACAACATTTAGAGAATAAATGGTTTATTGAGATAAACATTTATGTATTGTTTGCATCAAGTTTAAAATATAAATTCCAATATATAATTACAGACCTTTTAGTTGGTCCCATTGTGAAGGGCAAGCTCAATCAAGCACAGCTGAAATATTATAAATGTTTTCACCCATGTCTGAATATGTCCCTTCATTGCGGTCTCCTCGTGAACTTCTCTTCCCAGGCCATGTCTCACATCACACCCACAGGAAAGCCAATGACCTTTTTCTAGACCCTACTCTTTTGGTGTTTACAAGTGTATGAAGGAATACGATATGTGCAGGGAATATGGAGGAAACTCCCCAAATAAATGTTGATGATGGATCTGCCAACACTGTTTAATTAACAAGAAATGACAGTCGCTGTACAGAGCTGTTAGAGAGAGGTTGACCGTCACCCTGTCTTTGGACCTATTCCACTTGAGGTATTCAGTGCACTTGGCCCTGACTATGGACCCTATCACCCCCAGAGTTCCAAGGATGCTGGAGATGGAGCTGAGGGCCAGAGCTACTACCCCACTGTAATGGGGAAACAGAATAATTGCCTGTATAGACAAAGCAAAGGTCACTAGGGAGATCATCTACACTGCCACTCCCAGGGTGTTGACCACGAACTCCATCCAACTCCTGCTTCAGCAGGGCTTTAGGAGGTATTGGAGGGGTAGACAGTTCTGTACAGCATGGTACCCCTGGTCAGCAGCAAGGTTGAGGCCCCCCAGCCAATGTAGAGTAAAGCCCTCAGCCCACTCCTCTGGGCGATCAATGGGTTGTGGGAGTATCAGATGATGTTTCTGGCTATCCAGGAGACAGGGATGAGGAACAGAGTTCCAGTTAGAATGAAGAGAATTATGTTAATCATCACTATGGCCTTGATGTGGTTGGTGCACTTGACCCCGATGAGCAGCATCAACCCCAGAACCCCCGACATGATGGAGATGATGGTCAGGGCTCTGGCGGCCTGCAGGTCCTGAGGTAAATCCAGCATGGAATCGTAGACCTTACACTGCATCTGACCTGTGCTCTTGGTCACACATCTCATCCACAGGCACTCCCAGATAAAAAGGTTGTCTCCTATGGTTGTCTATCCAAGTGGGGAGTGTGCAGACCACAATGGTCATGATAAATCATATGACTCCCTGGGCAATGGCAAAAATGTCCATGCACATCAACATGCTCTCTTCTACACCTGCCCTTTCTGGAGGAACGATGATGCAGAAAAAGTAATTCCAGAACAGCAGATATGTTAAAAACTTCAGAGGATTTCCTAGAAGCTATACAAACAAAGTTCTAGAATGGCATATTCTTCCACTTTGAGTCTCACAGACATTCGTTGCTGAAGTTTTCTGTGAGATTAGAGTGCAGAGCCCAGTAAAAAGTCCTCTGTATGCTTTACTGTGGTGTCAAAAATTAGGCTGTCTTGGAAACACAAACTATTAATAAAGACATGGTTAAGGGTGGTTAATAACCACATCAGTGAAAAACTGGTGCGTTTCTATTCTGTGACTATTTTGTTACGGCCCTGGAACAAAGTAGTTAGCTAAAGCAGAAACATAGATCCAGTTTAGTGAGTTTCAGAGTTGAAATAAAAGCTAAATTCAATAGAACCTGTTCTGTACTACACTTGCATTAGCATGTAAACATATATTTTCCCTGAAACATATTACAAAATCTGCCTTGTTAGTAAAATTATACATCTATTACATGTCATCCAATTGGCTTAATGCGCTGAAACAACAATTATGTAATAAAGCGCCAAATGTCATCTAGACAGACACTGTTTTGCAATTCTGATAAGCAAGTCATCATGCCTGCTTGAATATACAGTACCAGTCAAAAGTTTGGACACACCTACTCATTCAAGGGTTTTTCTTTATTTTTACTATTTTCTACATTGTAGAACAATAGTGAAGACATCAAAACTATGAAATAACACGTATGGAATCATGTAGTAACCAAAAAAGTGTTAAACAAATCAAAATATATTTTATATTTGAGATTCTTCAAAGTAGCCACCCTTTGCCTTGGTGACAGCTTTGCACACTCTTAGCATTCTCTCAACCAGCTTCACCTGGAATGCTTTTCCAACAGTCTTGAAGGAGTTCCCACATATGCTGTGCACTTGTTGGCTGCTTTTCCTTCACTCTGCGGTCCAACTCATCCCAAACCATCTCAATTGGGTTGAGGTTGGTTGATTGTGGAGGCCAGGTCTTCTGATGCAGCACTCCATCACTCTCCTTCTTGGTCAAATAGCCCTTACACAGCCTGGAGGTGTGTTTTGGGTCATTGTTCTGTTGAAAAACAAATGATAGTCCCACTAAGCGCAAACCAGATGGGATGGCATATCGCTGCAGAATGCTGTGGTAGCCATGCTGGTTAAGTGTGCCTTGAAATCTAAATAAATCACAGACAGTGTCACCAGCAAAGCACCCCCAACCATCACACCACCATCACACCTCCTCCTCCATACTTCACGGTGGGAACCACACATGCGGAGATCATCCATTCACCTACTCTGCGTCTCACAAAGACACGGCGGTTGGAACCAAAAATCTCAAATTTGGACTCATCAGACCAAAGGACAGATTTCCACAGGTCTAATGTCCATTGCTCGTGTTTTTTGGCCCAAGCAAGTCTCTTTTTCTTATTGGTGTCCTTTAGTAGTGGTTTCTTTGCAGCAATTTGACCATGAAGGCCTGATTCATGCAGTCTCCTCTGAACATTTGATGTTGAGATGTGTCTGTTACTTGAACTCTGTGAAGCATTTTTTTGGGCTGCATTTTCTGAGGCTGGTAACTCTAATGAACTTATCCTCTGCAGCAGAGTTAACTCATGAGAGACAGTTTCATTATAGCGCTTGATGGTTTTTGCGACTGCACTTGAAGAAACGTTCAAAGTTCTTGAAATGTTCTGCATTGACTGACCTTCATGTTTTAAAGTAATGATGGGCTGTCGTTTCTCTTTGCTTATTTGAGCTGTTTTTTCCATAATATGGACTTGGTCTTTTACCAAATAGGGCTATCTTCTGTACACCACCCTACCTTGTCACAACACAACTGATTGGCTCAAACGCATTAAGAAAGAAATAAATTCCACAAATTAACTTTTAACGAGGCACACCTGTTAATTGAAATGCATTCCAGGTGATTATGTCATGAAGCTGGTTGAGAGAATGCCAAGAGTGCGCAAAGCTGTCATCAAGGCAAAGGGTGGCTACTTTGAAGAATCTCAAATATAAAATATATTTTGATTTGTTTAACACTTTTTCGGTTACTACGTGATTCCATACGTGTTATTTCATGGTTTTGATGTCTTCAATAATATTCTACAATGTAGAAAATAGTAAAAAATAAAGAAAAACCCTTGAATGTGTAGGTGTGTCCAAACTTTGGACTGGTACTGTATATCACATTACAAATATAAAATAAACAGCATTTTCATTTGATTTATTATTGAGATTTCTATTGAAATGATAAAGTAATGTGTCATTGTGATATCATCAATAATAAGTGGACAGGCATGGTTATATCCTTTTTGGTTCTTTATTCCGAACATTGCTTGACGTGGCCTCCACGCAGGGAGCCATAACTAACATCTGCTGTACCACACATACAAACCAATGGTGCATATAAACACTAGACGACTGACAGGTGGCGCTGTTTTTAAGTCACTGCGTCACCACTGTATAATTTTTTGCCAAGCATAATTCTATTACAGACACCTTAATGCATACTTTTAAATTGTATTATATGAAGAAAACTTTTTTTTCTCCTTAAAGTAGAGTTTTTAGAGAGTACGAATGTTACTGTTCACTCTACAACAAATAAATACTTAAATATATTTAATTTTGCCCTTGAAATATTAAATTGAAATATTGTAGAATTGCATTCATTCCTATGGAGGACTGCTCCTTCTGAGAAGTACAAATATGGCGGACAGTGGCTTCGAAGTCTCTCAATGGCCAATACATATCATCAGAAATCTAGTGTTTTAATACATAATTGATACAAACCCCTATAGCAGGGTTCCCCAACTGGGTGGTTTTATTTGGCCTCCCAAACTTTTCTTGTTTTAATTTTCATTGTTGGACATAAAAGACTGTAAAAATACCAGAAAATCAGCTCCAATTGATTTTTATTTAGGAAATCTGTTCCCAAGTATTCCCACGCATAATAGGGAGACACGTGATCGTATACAAATGTAAGCAAGGTTTGAAATGATCTGTTTGGGATTCTTGCGGTCAAATTGCAGTCTACAAATCATTTGTAATTATGTTCCTGCCCCCCGACCATCCGGTCAAGAAAAATTCGACCCACGGCTGAACCTAGTTGATGATCCCTGGCCTACAGTAACTGAGGCTGTGGCTCATTACTGCCTCTGCTGGAAGAATGCACTGTAATAGCAGAATTACAGTCATCATTACAAGTAGCCTACTTCAATTGATGTGGTTTTGAATAGATCACTATATATCCTGAACAGTCACGTTGATACTTTATGATTAGCAACAAAATAAAATAAAACCAAAATAAATGTATTGGTTTAATAGTAAGTGTGTCAGATACATTTTAACAGATCAGGTTTTGCCTCCTCTCAACAACCACATAGCCATGCCTTGTGTAATCTACTGCTTTCCAGTTTACCACATTCCCTGGAGATAAGATCTCCCCCTTCATATAGCTTTGGATCTCACAAGGGGAGAGCACTCTGTCCCACATGTGGACATCGGTCTCATGTCCGTAAAAGGCGTCATTCACATTAAACCCACCAACGTATGCATCTTGGTCCTGACCTAAAATAATGCTCGGTGTACCAGCGATGGAGCCACCGACTTGGAGAGCTTTCCTTGAACTTGGCTTCCCATTCACCCACAGTTGAGTCAGTCCTGTACCGGCATCCCACGTCCCACAAACGGAGTTCCACTCGTTCATTTTGTCTGACAATCCCCTGAAATTGATACCTTTGTCCCCAATGTACACGCTGTAAATTCCCCCATCTCCCCTTAAGATGACAAAACCATTGGTATGAGAAGGCGTGGCCAATGAGAAAATGGTCTGCTCCTTCGTCTGGTATTCGGTGAAAAATCGAACACAGACAGTCACAGCAAAGAAGATTTTGTTCATGTCAGGGGTTATCTTGACATAGGCAGTGTTTGACTCCACTGGGAAAATGATTTCCTTCCCTGACATGTCTGTTACAATGAGAATAATATTTGTTAATAGAGTTGCAAAGGGAGAAAATATTCCTGGTAACTTTCAAAATTCTGTGTTGGTAAATTCCCAGAACTTTGGAAATTACAGGGTATTTTGCAACCCTATTAGTATAGTAAGTAAGTACTACTGAAAAACATGTAATAATTCAACAATTCATAATAGTATTTTGGGCCATCTCCAGTATTTCAGTCTTACCTTGTGGCACAGCATAGCAGCACGTAAAGACCATCAGAAGCCATATCTGCAGTTCCATTTTGTAGTTTCAGTTGGAGTAAGCGCCAATGTTATGGACACATCCTCGAAGGATATTCCTATTTATACTATAGAAAACGGACTGAAAATGGGAGGGACTACCTGTGTGCTCTTATGAATGCCAGCCAGACATAATATATTCCCCACTTCCTTGTTTTTGATATTGGTCTAGATTAGAGTAATCTGAGAATCAAAGTTCATATGATTTATCAACATTGCCAGTTTATCAAGATGTTCTTTCTGTCATAAGACTTTCTAGATCAAACCAATCTCTAGGTCAACAGATATGTTAGTAGGTATTGTCACACATTTAGTAGGTAATGGTATTATTGGGCAAACACATCATAGAAAGTCAATAGAGAGTTTGTGCAAGCTTTTACTTTTATGACCTCTTTTATGACCTCTCTATGGTTTTATCTCACACAGATGTGGTGCCACTGTAACAGACTTAAAGTAAGGTAAAGTTAAAGTTTCATTGGACACTGTAACTGTCCAATGAAAATCTCATTTTAAAAAGTTAATATTCTGTTCATTCAAATAATGTTGTTGACTTGTCCTTTACTTCAACTTGTGACCAAAGCATTCATAAAAAAAAAATCTCAAAAACCTCTCCTCAAACATGTATCTGAAACAGACAGTAAAAAAAAAAAAGTTTGCTATTGCCTGATATTATGTGACTTCTGTTTACGTGTCATGAATATTTATGTTAATCTTTGTTTAAACCTTTAGGGCCATAGTCTCACCAGTTAGGTACCTATCCAGTTCACACCTGACTGAGGTTTTTGGTGTAACCACTGAATTGGCCTCTTTGACACTAAAACCAGGGGACCTTACTAGCTTTACTCTGGAACCAAATAAGATGGATTCAGTTTTTCCAAGATGCAGAAAAAGTTTGTTATCTGAAAGCCATTTACTGATAATGGATAACTATTCACTAAGGATCTCTTCTACTGAGGCTTTGTTCTTATGGGACACCAGTAGAGCAGAGTCATCCACATACAAAAGCAAATTATGAAAGCTGGCTCATTTCATATTGTTAAGGTACAGTAGGAAGAGAAGTGGGCCAAGGATACTGCCCTGCGGGACCCTACAACTAATCCCCTTCGCACTAGAATGTTTTCCATAAACATCCACCATTTGGTCTCTATCTGTTAAATAGGATTTAACCCAATAAATGGCCCATGCATTACCATTCCACAAACATTTTCCCGGTCAACTTCTTTCCCTGGTCAACCCATGCATCAATCTAAGTAACATAATACAAAAATCCCCATCAAAATGCATCAATTTAAGCTAGAGATATCGTCTCAATCCACCGCATCCGCCTATGTTGGCCTTCCACTTCTGCGGTGGAAGGTTGCCAGGCTAGAGCGGTGTTTGTCAGACCATGAGAAATTCAGAAAATCGGTCTTCTCACAAAAAAAATTCTGTAGCGTCTGAACGGTTTGGCCTACAAACTAATATAACCACTCTATGGAAAGATGAGACTCTCATTTTGCTGTTTTGCTCTACGACCCTCACAAGCCCCACGGGACTTGGCTGAAGTCGGTACTGCCGATGTGCCAACTTCTGTCTGCAGCATCCGAACCGTTTGGACTACAAACTAATATGACCCCGTGAAAAGGGGAGATTCTCACGAACACAATGGTGTTCTCCGTTTTGCTGTACAACTACCACAAGTGTCTGAAAGTAACCGGTACCGGTAAAATACATTAATTGAAGTATGGAGGTAGTTTTGTGGCAACAAAAAAAGGGGGTTAAATATGTGTTAAAAAAACTATTTCCTTAGCTTTCTTTTATCTCCTAGATATAGGAAAGAGACTTCAAAACCTTATTCCTTATGATTAATTGTTTTACTGAATGTGTTATTCAATGTGTTTCTATGAGCTGTGGTAGTAAAGGCCAAATACAATATTGACCCCTGTAGGGGGATACCTACAGGGGTCAAGAAATTCAAATTCAAATAGCTAAATGATCCTTGGTATGACCATCTTAAAACAATTCCATATGATAGCTTAACCTTTAAAAACAATAGACGTGTCAGTGGAGTGGGACTTTCTAAAACCAGACTGTAGTTCGTATAAAATATTATTCTTGTTAGTATATTCCTCTATCTGTTCATAAATTACTTTTTACAGCACTTTAGACAGAATACTCCAAATAGATACAGGTCTATAGTTGCCCTTGTCTGTTTTGCTGTCCTTCTTGTGGATAGAGATCACTCTAGCATGTTTCGCATCCGTAGAAACTCTACCCTGTTCCATAGAGATGTTGATTAAATAGGTGACACAGGGGGCTATAAGTTCAGCAACATCTCTTAAAAACCTGTCAGGGATCTTATCGAGGCATGTAGCTTTAGAGCAGTTTAGTTCAGACAGTCTCTTGACAATTTTAGCCTGAGACACTGCTGTAAAGGAAAAGGCATAATCTTGAAACCCATCTTGGAGTAATAGCCTAGGACCTGACCCTCCCCATACACTCCAGTACAACCAGGTAGCTTCTCAACCAAATGTGAGGGAACTGTTGTGAAAAAGGTATCGAGATTGTCAGCTACCACTTCCTTGTCAAACATGATTTCCCCATCAAGACCCAACTTTTGCAATTCGTTTTCTGTTTTCTGGTTGTGAACTTATCTACTGCTCATCTCTACAATGCACTATAAAGGCATTTATACATAATGGTGTTGTTGCTTTTAACAAACAAATAATTAGGTCACCTTTGATTCAAAATTATGGGACGATAAACAAATAATATCTACATTGTAATACATTATTTCTATTGAAATGACTTCATAAAGACTGGAAAAGATGTAAGTTATTTTATCTCAGCATGTCTACAGATTCTCCCTTCTCCCTGTTTTTGTTTGCTTGGGAATGTTGATACTGGAGACTGTTATCAGAAGAAACTGTGTAACCTAGCATTTATAGCGGCTACGAAATGCATTGCCATTAATTGGAAGGTTGGTTATCCTCCAACAATGTCACAATGGATGGCAGAAATGTTAAGTTATGTATCACTAGATTTGATTTATTACCAGATTAAAGGTATACTGTGCAACTTTCATAAGGTCTGGATGCCTTATATGGAATACTGTACGACGAAAGAGTCTGTATTGAAAACATGTCCACGTCAGTGGAGATACTTATTTAGGCAATCACTAGCTGCTAGGCTGCTCAGTCCTGGCCCTTCCATATGGTTGGTTGTCACTCTGGCATTGGCCTAACACAACTGAAACCAATAATGAATGTTTCACTAAGATCCTAAAGCTGAGTGGGATGTGTTGGGTTGGGGTGCTGCAGGGTGGTGGACCCTGTCGTGGAAATTCTAACCAGAAAGGAAGAGACTGTAGATTCTTGGGGGTATGATATTTGTGCATTTATAACTTTCTCACTCATCATTATTCACGATTCATTCAGTATTATCCACATTCATTCATAGCATCCACATTCACGTAGAAGTGTTTAGAAACATATTCCCCCCCAAAAGAAAATCTACCAGCCAATCAGATTTTTTACCAGCCAAAATAAAGGATGAGCATGCTTTATGATGTTTCTAAAACAATAAATGTATTACTAGTAAGAAGTAATATGGTATACTGTTTAATTTCATTAAAACACATTCTGACCTGAGTCTTTTATCCAAAATATCACAGATGAGACAAAAATGTTCACCTGCCCCTTTAAAGGCGGGAGGTTACCATGGTAAAGTGACTGAGTCATTTTTGTGCCTGTGAGTAGTGGTGCACAACTCCAGGATTTTTGGAGTCGACTCCGACTCCTGTGATTGGAGTCGAAAGGAGTCGACTCTTGCTCAACTCCCAAAACACGCTGAAACGAATGTGCACACACATACACACCATCTCATTATTGCAGTCCTACTAGGAAGACTACATTTGCATTCTAGAATACTGACATGAGCATGATGCTGCCTATTTGCCTGTAAAATGCCTATTTTGTTTGACTATAGAAAGAAGATGTGTAGGAAGTAGAATATTTCAGTGATATCCCATGGGATGATGCGGCGCACTCTACTCTGAAAAGCCTATTCTATACCATGATATAGCCCTATTCGGGCGGGTATTACTAGAGACGTTGGTTTTGTACTTATTATCCAAGCATGTGCGTTATTCCAGAGGACGATTCACACAGGATGAGTTTTTCCAAACTGCCCCCTGTTCTTTTAAATTAATCTTTTTTAATGAATTGAATCTTATGACGGAAGCCTGGAAGTTTTTATTGTAAGCGTGAAGATATTTCAACGGCATGTCTAGACAATAATAGGCTACACTGATAACTCGTGCGTGGCTGCCAAATGTAGGCCTATAGGTCTCCCCATAATATTTAAATTGATAAAGTGTGATCATAATCATTATTTTAGCAATCCATCCATGGTAGACGTCCTTCCTAATAACAATGCCCCACATCCTGCTGATTTCAGCTGCTGAACCGTATTTGCACTTGACTGTGTTTATGGATGAGAAAGTGAACTTGCCATTTCCAAAAGGTTTAGCAGGGGATGCTGCTTTGAGATCTATTGCCTAGGACAGGGCTCTCTTACCCTGTTCGTGGAGACCTAACATCCTGTAGGTTTTCACTCAAACCCTAATCTAGCGCATCTGATTCAATAATTAGCTGGTTGATAAGCTGAATCAGGTTAGTTACAACTGGGGTTGTCGGATCACCCCCTCAAGCTGAACCTCGGCAAGACGGAGCTGCTCTTCCTCCCGGGGAAGGACTGCCCGCTCCATGATCTCGCCATCACGGTTGACAACTCCATTGTGTCCTCCTCCCAGAGTGCAAAGAACCCTGGCGTGACCCTGGACTATACCCTGTCGTTCTCCGCTAACATCAAAGCGGTGACCCGATCCTGCAGGTTCATGCTCTACAACATTCGCAGAGTACGACCCTACCTTACACAGAAAGCGGCACAGGTCCTAATCCAGGCACTTGTCATCTCCCGTCTGGATTACTGCAACTCGCTGTTGGCTGGGCTCCCTGCCTGTGCCATTAAACCCCTTCAACTTATCCAGAACGCTGCAGCCCGTCTGGTGTTCAAC